TTTGTCAAAGGACGTGATAGCTTTCCCGCTGTGTTAACTCTGCTACGGCGTGACTGGAGCGGCAGAAGGAGCAGAGGCGCTCAGAGGAAGTGTGCCGGACCTGCCGCAGCTAATTGGGGGTCGTAAATCCAATTAGCGGGGTCATGCGTAATCAATCAACTTGACATTCCCCACATCTTAGACTGTTCCAGAGGTTCTCTTAACTCCTTAAAATAGATTTTGGACACATACAGAGGGCACCACCAGGAGGGGGAATCGGTAATATCATCTCCCTCCCTATTCCACCAGCAAAATCCTCTGCTGAATCAAAAAGCCTTCTGTCAGCACAAGGGACTCCATTTGATACAACCTGTGCAACCGAAAACCCCTCACATCGGAAAATTGTGATGAAATTTCAGAGTATAGACTATTTGTCAAGAGAGCTGTATAGAACTAACGTGCCTATCTATTATTTAGAAAGGTTACATTCTGTTCTAATTTGGGTGTCCCCCCTTTTTTTTTTAAAAAAAAAGTTAACTAGCTTTCAGAGTGGAAGTATTTTCTATATAATACAACAGTATTTTTACTCTGTGATTCTCTTAGGCCTTACTTCTGTGATGACTGTATATGAACCATATATTAAGACATCTCCATAAGAGTACACAAGCTTTAATATGTGTTGTTTTAATGTTTGTGTTAATACTCCATATTATTTTCCAAACTGTACTCTGAAAAACAGCTTGTAGTCATAAAACCCAGAGTTCTGCAGCATCTGACAAAGGAACTTACTGATATACAATTGAACCTTGGTTCTCGAAGTTAATCCATTCCAGAAGTCCGTTTGACTCCCGAAACATTCAGAAACCAAGGAGCAGCTTCCAGTTGGTGCAGGCACCCTAGAAACAGTAGCTGACAGCCGCATCAGACATTTGGCTTCTGAAAAACGTTCGAAAACCGGAACACTTCTGGGTTTTCAGCATTCGGAAGCCAATTGGTTTGTCAACTAAGCCGTTCGAGAACCAAGGTTCCATTGTATCTATTTATACTTTGTCTTTTGATCCAGAAGAAGCCCCATTTGTAGAGCCAGATTTTCCTTTAAATTACATTGACTGATTTAATGCCTATAAGCATCATTAACTTGTGTATTTTGATAGGTAAGAGAAAAAGTCACATCGGAGGAAGCTATTGAAGTAAAACTGCTGGAGAAAGACAAGGAAGGAGTTGTGAATTCCCAGCTGCAGTGGCAACTCAACCTTCTGGCCCACGTTGAGTCTCTGCAAGATGAAGTTACTCATAGGATGGATTTAATTGAAAAGGAGCTGGATGGTAATGATTTGTTCTTCCCTTTTCTACAGCCTTTGCCAGCTTACAAAGTTATCTTTCCAGCAGCTGGTGGAGCATGAGACTCTTAATCTCAGGGTCAGGGGTTTGAGCCCCATGTTGGGCAAAGAGATTCCTGCATTGCAGGGGGTTGGACCAGATGGCCCTTGCGCTTCCTTCCAACTCTATAATTCTATGTAACGTGTAAACACATTCAAATTTCTTTCAACCTCTTTCCTAATAATTCTTTGGCATAGCTGCCATGCTCAGAATTCATATTGTCATTGAGCTATCCACCACAGCCCAATATATGTCTTTCCTGTGTAGCCATTGCCACTTGAAATCCCAAGAGTGTACTTGGGAATTTGCAATTTTCCCCCATTAATTGTGCAATAGTTTTGAATCCAATTTGCCATTTTCCTGCTCATTCATCTAGAATGAGGAGAGTCTTTTGGAGCCATCACAGTCTACAGTGGTGCCTCGCAAGACGAAATTAATTCGTTCCGCAAGTCTCTTCGTCTTGCGAGTTTTTCGTCTTGCGATGCACGGTTTCCCATAGGAATGCATTGAAAATCAATTAATGCGTTCCTAGGGAAACCGCCTTCAGACCAGGTCCGGGGACAGTCTGTCCCCCGACCTCTTCTGAAGGCTGGGGGGGGGACAAGGGCCTTTCTTCCCACCCCCAGCATTTTAAAAAACCCCGGGACAGCGGAGGACGATGCCGGGCGGCGGGGTGAGAGGTTCCCGCCCCGCCGCCCGGCATCGGGGCATCGTTCCGATGCCTGGCGGCGGCGAGAGGAGGTGTCCCCGCCCCGCCGCCAGGCTTCGGAGGAGGTCCGAGGACAGCGGGGAAGACGCGCTGCGCTTCCCCTCTGTCCCGGAGATTTCCCTATGGGCTGTCGTCTTGCGAGGCAAGCCCATAGGGAAGTTCGTTTTGCGAAGCGCCTCCAAAACGGAAAACCCTTTCGTCTAGCGGGTTTTCCGTCTTGCGAGGCGTTCGTCTTGCGAGGTACTACTGTACCTGAATTTTCACTATACTAAATCCAGATAATTTGGTTTCTGCAAATTTGCCCACTTCGGCGTTCATCCCTAATCCAGGTCTATGGATGAAGAGGTTAAATAGCACTGGTTCCGATAACACCATCACTCCATAGTGGATAAGTGGTGGGAGCTTATTCCTATTCTCTGTTTTCTTTTTAGCTATTTACTAATCCATAGCACTGCCTGCCTTCTTACTCTATGACTTTACTTACAAACCTTTGGGGAACCATCCTGACAAAAAGCTTTTGGCAAGTCCAAGCATATGATCCTACTGGATCATCACATCCATGTGCTTAATGGCACTCAAAAGAATTTCAAAATGTGATGAGGCAGAACTTTCTTCCCTTTGTAGAACCCATTCTGATTTGTTATTTTTATATACTTCGCTTTTCTAGCAGATACCCTGGTACAAACGTTAAGCTAACTGGCCTTTTAAAAAAATTGACATTTTGTTGGCTATTTTCCAATCCTCTAGTACAAGTTAGTTACCAGTGACTGATGTGTGCACATTTTTAAACATTATTCTTTTTTTCTTCCAGTTTTGGAGAGCTGGTTGGATTATACTGGAGAGCTGGAGCCACCAGAACCACTAGCTAGACTCCCCCAACTCAAACATTGTATAAAACAACTCCTCACAGACTTGGGCAAAGTGCAACAAATAGCACTTTGCTGTTCCACATGATACTGGAGACTTCTACGTGATGGCTGGAGCGCATCACATGAATTGATCACTCTCTGTTAAATGGAATAGCATGCTTGTTGCATGTGATGCAGAACTGACTTCAGGGAATTGTTTAGGGACAAGGGTCACTCTTCAGACAAGTGATGGGGTTGCCCTTACCTTTTGTTCATTTGGCTTTTGCTAGGCATTTTTAACATTATGGAAAGGGATTTAGTCTTGTCTTCAGAGGCTAGGAACAGGCTGGTAATAAGACTTTTCACTCTTTGTATTAAGTTGTTGAATTCAACATTCATGTTCTTTGCATACATACACTGACAAAATTGTGCCACTGGAGAACAAAGTTCTAAGAGCCAAAAATGATTAGTTGACCAAGGCTGTAAATTACATTCTGCATAGTTTATTTAAATAACTAGTGCACCAGACAGTCATACTTTATTTCTAATGGTTTATTGCATAACCACAGTATTTAATCAATAGAGAAGATGTTATTTTCAAGCCTAGCAAGTATGAATGTCTAATTTAATTGTAAACTGTTACAAGAGGTTTGCAGATTATGACCTGAAACTTGTCTACTATTTTGAATAGATGTAGTAGAAGGTCACAACTTGGTTGCACTTCTTTTCTTAGTAAATGATTGTTTTCCGTATTTATCATGTCATTGTAGCATGACTTAAGGTACTGGGAAACCCTCTTTTTTTTGTTGTACTTCTGTACATTCTTGAATTTCTAAATCTGGCCATGCTGTGCCTCTCATGACCTAGTGCTGATGAGACACCCTCATGGCAGGGGACAGGACGGTCGGTGAGATATAAGGTGTACTACAGATTCAGATTTGTCTGTGATGGACACGGTGTAGTTTTCTACCCTACTGTTAATAATTGCCATTCCGGTTATAGTTTGAAAAGTAGTCTTTTTCAATATTATAAACTTTCTCATTGTAGAGACTTGTAAATGTGTGGTTTTGGGAATCAGTTTATTTTATATTTGTGTAAGTGGAACCTCAAGATCTATGCATGAGGTACTGTCCCCAAAGCATGGGGACATTATGTTAAAACAGTATGTTTCAGAATCCCTTTTTGTACTTTTATTTAGTTTCCTTATTTGTATTATTTGTGAGATCAAAGTGAAAATGCTGCTTATGTTGAAGCTACATTATACAGTACCTTTTGGAAACATTGGTGTATTGTAAGTATTCGTTATGTTTTTAAAAAAGGTTTGCCTGCAGATCATATTTCCATAATTGATTTTTGTGTTGGACAACACCTGGGACAAAAGTTACTTCAAGCTGGACAAGAATGGACTGTTTTTCATTGATGGTGTTCTGAATGTTGGATTTTTTATTACCTTGATATCAGTTGTTTTTGACACCACCAAAGTTTTAAAATTAAAGCACATTTGTGAGTTGAAGACCTGTTAAGTGACAAATTGATAATTATGGATATAAATCTGTAATGTTTATATGCTGCAGAATTGATTATGTAAATTTCAGTTAGCCAATGTTTGTCATAGGAGTAACAATTACTTCAGTTAACATTTTGACCAGCTAATTTTTTCAGAAAGAATTATTACACTATTCTGAGTTGAAACGAAGGCTTTTGTGCCAAGACTAATTTCAGGGAATAATTTGTCTCCAATTTATTGGCACTTATTGATATGAGTGTAACATCTGTACAGCAGATAAACTTATTTTGCTGTAATAATTTGGAATAAAGCTTATGTGACCATTAAATGACACCTGGCTGTCTCAAAGTAGCATAGTGCTTGTATTACAGGAGTGTTCACAGCAGTATTTAGTTACGTAGCCAACACCAGCTTTACATCTTTCCCATTGTGAACAATGAAGGTGAGTGATTTAACAGTTGTGGAGATCTGCTGGTGTTTGAGTGGCTTGCGGTTCTTGTTGTTTTGCCATGTAAATATCCTTTACAGATGTTGAGCGAAGTGAACTCTTAAAGTGAACTTTGCTGAAATGCAGAGCTTTATAGGAGTAGTCATAAATACACAGCCAAGCTTTATTATTTAAAAATATTATTATAAATACATATATATAGTCCTCGTAAATGAAGCCCATCAAGGCCATGTGTAACTACATGAGGCTGCCATCTTGCTGAAGCTGAGCAGGTCTGGGTTTGGTCAGTAGTTGCATGATGGAAGACCAGCAGAATATAATTATTAAGTAGATAAATTAATGTGAGCGAGCATTAAAAACTGTAGAAAGAGGTCAGTACTGAAGTCCTGTCTTCCACATTCCAGAAATGCTTCCCAACAGTAGCCTTAATTGTATATGCATCTTTCTCACTTTTCACTGATTGTGTCCTCTGACGGCAGCTCTTCAGTCATTAACAGGTAGGAAGTGACAGCTTCCCTCAGGCCCAAGCTAATTGGCGAGTCTTCTGCTAGCGGATTTTCTGCCAACAAGTCTGAGCTAGACAGGAGAAAACATTGAAAGATTAAAATATGCTGTGAAGCAGAAGGATAAACATCCTTCTCTTGCAAAAACGTTCTCATTATAGCATTCTGGTAGATTGTTCCTACACAAAAGCAGGCAGACTTCCCCACTGCTTATCCCAGTCATACCACTGTCAGAAACTTGCTTTTATCTCTTGTTGCTATTAGCAAGTGCAACCAAATGCTTCTCTTGCAGCAGAAGTATTTACCCACTACAGATTAAACGGTCTTATGCTTGCTGCAACCAGTGAATCATCACAGCAGCGACCGTCTGCAAAGATTGCTGTCTTCTCCTTAGAGGAAGGATGCCCGACCAGAACACGGTTTTGAAGGCTGATAGTGCAGCAACATGAATTCATACAAGCCCAGATAAAGAGACTGCTTAGGAACTCTGTGCTGAGTTCTGTGCTAGAAGAAAAGAGGATAATAATAAAGTACCTGCTGATCTCCTCCCAGTTGAGAGCTGGCTTCTTTACTACCATTGGTTGGGAAAGATTAGACTTCTTCCACAATGTAGAGCCTTGGATGAAGCACGGTTCCTTCAAGCAGCAACATAAGCCATCTCCAACTTCTGTTAACAAAAGGAGGAAAGAATCTTCTAATCTGGACCTTCCATGCATAGCCACTAGGTATTCCAGACCAAGCGCATAGTAGTAAACAAAGCTAAACTGCACTGATCACCACATACTTGTTTCAACCTTGCTATTTTAAACCAGTGTGTTGGTGGCAGCACAAGAGGTGAGGAGCCTTTTCCAGCTCAAGCGCCACATTCCCCTGTGGGCATCCTGGAGGTTGCATGCCAGAGCAAAAGATACAGCTCCTAATTTTGTGCATGTACATGACTTGCATGTAAAGAAGGTGGAGGTTTCTACACACACAGGCATTCAAGGCATGGTCACAAATCAAGGATACATCCTAGCCAAGCCAAAGTACTTGGAAGGATTCAGAGCAAGCTTGTGAGTCAGATAGAAGCGATTGGAGAGCCCACCACCACCACTTTAGCATGAGCAAGGAAAAGGCATCCTGTTGCGTTCCCCAAGGCAAACAAGCAGACTGCAATTTGTGTGAGTGGCAGCACACGCCACCCAGAACTAGTTTCACCAAGCATAGGATTGAAACCCGTGTGCTGAATGAAGTTGAGCAGTGCAAAAAGTACAAAATAAGTTGGGTAGCAAATTGTGATTTCTCGTGGCCAGGGAAGCTCAGCTTCCCCACTCCTTATTCTACAGAAGCAACGTGAGCCTCTTTTCCATCTGCTGCCCAGCCAGGAAGTTTAGCAGAGGAATAGCAGGCAGTGTGTACAATCGCATGTGTGAAAAGCAACCATCCAACCCGTTAAAGTCATGGATGAGGAATTTGTATTGCTCCAGTGGTTGAACTTCCAACTCCCATCATCTCCAGGCAGCATAGCTAATGGTCAAGGATGTTGAGAGTTTGTAGGCTGTTAACATCCGGAAAATCAGAGTTTCTTGTGCATGAAATGTAATTCCCAGTACAAAGTGCACAGTCAGTCAGTCTGTTATCATAGACTGGAGTCTGTTAGGGTACTTCTTTTAAGGTAGTCTTATGGCAGTGTATACTACAGGCTTTTCCTGCATTAATAGCTGCCGCTTATAGAGCCCTGATGATGCCTCTTAAGCACACATTTGTTTTTTCTGACAGGAGTGCATGGCAGCTATTCTCTTCTATGGCAGAAACTAAAGATGTTACACTTGGGTCAAACCTGCTGATATGAGAGATGCCTCTTACATCAAGAGTCCATACTGGCCCTCTCATTCTCTACATCCATCTATCCCTCACTTGCTAGTGCAAGATGACCGCCTACACAGGTATAACAGATGGACTGGTCCACCTACTTACCCACTGGGCTTTAGCACAACTCTCATCTTTTTACACAAGAGGATTTGTCAAGGCCTGACTTCAGTTTTGGGGAGGACTTGGGCAGGCTGCTCTCCATAGAGCCTCCCAGTGCCCTCTGGCATTTGGGCTCGCCTGCTGCAGCCTCCCTTCTCGAGGGAGCCAGTGTATCCAACCCACTACAGGCTCCTACGCACTACAGCAGGGGTCGGCAACCTAAGGCCCATGGGACACAAGTGGCCCACAGGGGTCATTTAACTGGCCCCCGAGCCACCCGCTCGGCGAGTCCCCACGTGCTGCACCAAACCAGCACGGTGTAGGGACTCGCTTTCGTAGCGCCAAAAATCGAGTCTGCGCAGACGCCAAAAATTGCAGGCATGCACGCAATCTGGCCCACGGAGGGATCTCCGCTGGAGTGAACCGGCCCAGACAAGGTAAACCTTGCCGACCCCTGCACTACAGCAGCAAGGTGGGAGACTGCCAGCCTTCCCCCCTCATACACTCGCACTCAGGCTTAGCTGGTGGCTGTGTAAAGGGCTGCTGCTGCTGCAGTAGCAGGGCATGAGCAGGTGCAGGAGGAAGTGGCTGGCTGCTGTGAGAATACAGCCACCAGAGGGCCCAAGGTGTCAGCCCAGTATGCCAGGTGCTGACACCAGGACTGCGTTGTAACTACTGGAGGCCGCCTCAAGCAGGAACAAAACAGAATTGAATCTCTCCCTTTTATCAACCCGGAAGCAGGGGAAAACAAAATTACCAGAATAGTACTCCACCAGCTCCTGCAAGCTCGAGAAGGTGAGGCGAGGGGAGATGTAAAGCCAGCCGTTTTCCATGCAGTTAATGCGATAGTGTTTCACGCAATCCCAGGAAGCACGATTTGTGTGTCTGATAGACAAAGAGTAGCAACCTGCATGGGAGAGAGAACACCATCAGGCCACAAAGTAGTATAAAATCATCACCTCTGAACTTTCTGAGCCACACTCTTTAGCCTACTTTGTTCCCTAGAATCCAGTGAGTCAGAAGATTTCTGAAGAGACTCAATACCTTTCTTCATTTGGCTCTCTCTGACCAGAAAATAACCTTCGCTGTTGGAAGGCAGCAGCAACAGCTCCTCAGCCTTTGATCGGCTGATGCCCTCATAGAGCCACCTGGAAGAGAAGCGCACGCCACTGTTACTGCCCAGAACATATACACTCTTAGGCAGCTCTTGGGGGGGGGCACACATCCTGAACTGCCTTACTGCTGCCCAAATTACTCCCAACCAGACCATTTATATTGCTGCAGCATAAACAGGAAAGCAGAAACTCCTACCCGTGAGAGATTTTGGCAACATGGTTACTGGGAACATAGCAGCCTTTGCCCGTGGTTACTGACTCCACTTTCCACCATTCACCATCTCTGTTAAAAGAAAAGCATATTGTAAAATTGAGCATCAAGACTTTCCAATGAGCTCTTCCTTGAAGATCTTCCCTATTCATAATTGAGAACTAGGGAAGGGGGCAGGCCATTACCGTGACAAAAATACTTATACTGTTTCCAGCAGCTTTCCTTTTTAACTAACAGGGAGAAAATCTGTTATTTGTTGATAGGTGGGGATAAATACAACATTGCACTACAAGAATGTTCAGTCGGTGTAAGGATTTCTGCTTCTACAATGGAGCATTCTCCCTCTCTCCTCAGCCCGTGCCCCCTAACAGTTCTAGGGGTTCCCCCAACCCTCTGGAGCAGATATGGGGAGGGTGTGGCTGGGGGGGGGAGGAGTGGAGGGGAAGTCCCATCGCACAAGCAGAAATCCTTAAGATGAGGGATTACTTAGTTGGATAGTACCCAACGTTTCTCAGTTTCCTTAGCAGCCCAGATGGATCACACAAAATTTCATCATACAACAGGAGGTCTCATGTACTGGAGACCATCTATGTGAAAATGTATTTATATACTATTTGTATTTCTGTGGTGACAAATGGTTTCTAAAAATTAAGTTTGACTGGCTGACTTGTTTCTTACATTTGTATACCACCTTTTTATCCAATGAGCTAAAGGTGGTCTACATGGTTCTCCCCTTTCCATTTTCTCCTTACAACACCTCTGTGAGATCGGTGAGGCTGAGGGACTTTGACTGGGCCAAGGTCACCCAATGAGCAGGAAATTCAACCACTGGTCTCCCAGGTCATAGTCCAATACTGTTACACCACATTGGCTCTCAATTATCTTTTATATATTTTGTGGATACTCAAGTAGAAGCCAAAGGAACTGGGCCTTAAGCACAAACAACAGAGAGCTTAGCCTTTGTCACACTTCAAAAAGTCTCAGAGTTCAGGCCAGTTCCACAAGGACACCCTTGTTCCACACCTTTGTGTATGTTTCAAGATGGGTAGGGGGAATTCTGTCATTCATCATCTCAGTGCAAGTACTCACTCAGATAGCAAATTCAGCTGCTCTCCCATCCACAGTATTGGCTCTGCATGTCCAGAAGGGAAATTACACACAGCAACAGCTATAGGGGTACTCTCACCTACAAGTTAATAAATAAAGATATAGTTAACGAACGGCTTATAATCTTTCCATGCCTTGAGCTTCCCTATGATGCAATCTATGTGCGACTGCCCTTGAAGAGTATCAGGAAACTTCAGGTGTCCTAGGAGCAGGGTGCACTCTTATTATAACAGCTGCACTGGCTTCTAGTTCATTTCCAGACACAATTCAAAGTGCCCTAAATTCAGGCCCTAAATAGCTTAGGCTCAGGTTATTTAGCTGGTACAGTGGCTGGTGTTAATTTTTAGAGCTCTAGTTGACTGGGTTTTATGGGTTTTTAGCCTTTCTTTGTTAACTGCCCAGAGAACATAGATGATAAGCCAAGTACAGTAGTTCCTTGGGTTACAGACGCTTCAGGTTACAGACTCCGCTAACCCAGAAATAGTATCTCTGGTTAAGAACTTTGCTTTAGGATGAGAACAGAAATCGTGCGGCGGCAGCGGCAGGAGGCCCTATTAGCTAAAGTGGTACCTCAGGTTATGAACAGTTTCAGGTTAAGAATGGACCTCCAGAACGAATTAAGTTCTTAACCTGAGGTACCACTGTAATGGCAACAAATGATCTAAAAGACTTCCCATACAGAAGCTGTGCAAACCTTCAAATCAACAGAGGCAGCTTCTCTTGACATCCCATTGGTGGCTGAGGCACCACAAAAGGGCTTATTGATTGTGGGATTCCCTCCCCAGGGAGGTTTGTTTTGTCCCCTCTTGGCTGCCTTTCCCTGCCTGATTAAGACATTCCTGCTTCACCAGTTAGTTAGCCAGCAAAGCTGAGAGGTGTTTAAACTAGTAGTGGCAGCCAACATGGTGCCTTCCATATAGGGCTGGGACCTCCAGTTCCCATCAGTCCTAGCCAACACATCACCAACGGTCAGCAGTGGTAGGGGTTGTAGTCCAAGACTATCCAGAAGGTACCACTTTGATTCTCCCAGTCCCGGATCATCCTTCCCCCACTTGGTACCTTCCACTGTGCTGATGGTCCCAAGTTAGCAGTGGTCATTCATTTCAGTGGATCTACCCCGAGTAGGACTAGCATTGGATGCAACCCTAAGCTTTCTATGTCCAGGGATCGGTAGCACAGAACAACCTCCCACCTTGTGGCCTGACACCACGGCTGAGGCCAAGGGCCTGGCTGTTCTGCACGTTGGACTGTGGGCTTGGCTGAGTAGCAATCTGCTTCCTCCTGCTGGGCAAACTTCCCATCACAGTCTGCCGTCAGCTGGTAGATTTAAGCAATAGTGGTCTAAAAGCACAGTATTGAGAGAGACCTTTTAACAAGAGAGAAAACAGAGGGTCATCAGCATCAACTTCAAGGTTGCATCCAGCCTCCCGTTGAGCTTCCATTCAGTTGCTCACCAATGATATAAGAGCTTTTTCTACATGCTAAAACTAAATGCTGATCTAAGTTCCCAGCTTGGAGTCCTCTGTCCTTGGCTCCACTCAGTCACATGCTCCAAAGGACCTTGTGCTCAGCACCTCTTCTATCAGCCATTATCCATCATTTGCTCTGAACTCAGTTATCTGCCAAGTGTTTGAAGTGTCCTTGCATTGTGTCAGGGAAAGAGGCAAGAAGCCATTTGCTGCCTCTGTAAGATGTTACTGGCTTCATCATTGGTTTGGTTATTGGTTTGAGTCCGCAAGGGAAGTTAGCATTAATAGCCCAAGCAAGAATTAGTTAACCCTGGAAATAGACTCAAAATCAGAGGGGTCATGAGGATGTAAGCTGGCCTGGCCTGTGAAAACAAGTAGGAGTTATGCCTCTGTAAAGCATTGTAGTCAGGCTAGATTAAGAAAGACTGGAGCCTTGGAGTTGCACTACTCTGCAAGACTGCAGTACCAAGAAAAATATGGATCTTTATAGTACAAGGTACACCAACCTGGTTAAAGGAAACAAAATTGGATGTCTAGGATGCTAGCTGAGCCCTCCCTCGCCTTCTTTTGTATCTTTAGCCATGTGAAGTAAGTTGGTGGGCAAAAGTGAGAAAAAACCATGAGAAGTGAGTTTAAAGATGAAACTACACTTGCTCAGAGTGTTGTGGTGTTGTTTTTGTAGTCCATGACAGCTTATGCAACAATAAATTGCTTAGTCTTTATCTGAGGTATCTGATAGCTCAGTCAGTAGGGCATGACACTCGACTAGGTGACCTTTGGAATCCCTTCCAACTCTACAATTCTATGTATTTCCTTACTTTGTGCATTCATTTTTTGGATAAGAGGGGCCATATTTGGGAAACTGCTGTAGGAACCCCAACCACTTTAATCCAGCCTTGAGTTGCCCAGTAGGGGGTGATTAACACTCTTCAGTGAAGACTATCCTACAGTAGAGGTGAACAGATGAAAAATCTCTGCAGTACAAAACACAGCCAAGTTAGGACATGTCACACTCATTTGAAAAGATGGAACTTATTGCCTTAGCCATAAGTTTGATGTACTCCCAAGTACTTTGCAAATCAGTTTGGACTGTACTGCTGAGAGCACATGCCTAGGATGGCAGTGTTAAGATACCATCCATTTCTAACCTGGTTACAATATGCACTGGCTAATCGTGTTTGGAAGTAATGGCTCCACTATCTTTGAAACTTATGTCTCACCCACAGTTTGAAAGCTAAACAGATTACCTATTGATAAAAGAAAGAATCTTTGAGTAGAGTTTAAGTCCATACTCAGTATGACCAGGCAACAAACATCAGTTCTGGATCTCAGCCCTGGTGGCCAGTAACATAGCTATCTGCCCCAACAATTAAAAAAAGCTTTCCTAAAGTTAACCTGTATTCCCGTTTCCTGTTAGTGGACAAAGCCTCATGGTTACTCTTCACACTTCCATGGTTTCCACCGTGGTACCAGGGACATTCAAGGCTCCTCTTTCACTATTCTCCTACTTATCTTAATCCTACAATGAAGCGCACTTAAGCAAAGCATTTATTCACCTACAGTGGCCTCTTTGCCCCACCAGTCTTCTACTACTATCACCATAAAATTTGCCAAACCCTTGGTTCCATTTCTCAAAAGCATCATGGCCTCTAGCTCCATAACAGTTCCTCCTGCTCCCAGTGATGCGACTGTGAGCACCACTCACCTGTCTATCCCAGCACCAAACAGCCACAGGCTCTTCAGAAATCACAGCAAGATGGTGATGCAACAAGAATTAAGAAGCTCTCTTGCAAAACAGGACCCTTGAGGACAGTTGGTAGGGTGGAGCCCAACCCCAGTTCCCCTGTAATAGTTTCTGAATAGGAGTCAGAACACTGGGCCGCCTCTCTTAATACATAGGGATGCACCAACACAAATCCAGACCTATTCCTTTAATGAACAGTGTCCAAAGATAAACGCACCTGACCAGATTCTCTGCATTCAGTGCTCTTCAGTAGTTTGGATTTCTTGCTGCAGCGTCTTCCAAGCAACAGGCTGCCCTCTTGTTCTGTACACAAGTACCCAAGTAAAATCCAAGCCGCAGAATCCTCTTGGCCCTTCTTCCCTGAAGCACAGCGTAAGCCAACAGCCGGTGAGTTTGTGCTGCTCTTGTTGTTTGACTGCATGTTCTTGAGAAGAGCTGAATCTCGAGAACCCACAAGCTGCTCAATTTCCTTTTGACGCAAGTGGAAAAATGGTTGGTGTGACAGAAAAAGGGGGGGGGAGGAAACCACACAGAAAACAGATGCTTCTACAACACTGTTTGACTTTATTTTACCACAGACTAGAGTCAGGTAATTGTAGCAAGCTAGATACTACCTGTGGACTGGTGGTCAATTACGGAGAATGGCCTTTCTTGTCCCCCAAAGGGACACCATTGTTCTAGAATCTAGACAGACAGGTACACACTGCATGGAATTGCAAGTTTTAAATCCAGAAAGTGTCTTGTGTAGCGGTGGTGGTTCAGTTTAGAGAACCAAAGGGCACAGATGTGGAGGTGGCATACCTGCCCTGCAGTCTTTTTTCCCGGGCATCTATTTTGCAGCCAGTATCAGAGCCTGGCTGAGGGGAAAGGGATGCTGAGAGAGGTTGCAATGGAGAAAGCAGCAGGGAATGGCCCCCCCTGTTTACTCCTAAAATGGGGCAGTAGGTCCAGGTTTAGCTACCTGGCTCTGCCAGCATCAACCTGCTCAGGCATTTGGTGGCCGAAGAATAGTGCTTTAAGATCATTGGATGAATGAATGTTTTCAATTGCTTTTAGAATGCTTTAATATGTTTTAGAATGCTTTTGCTTTGTTTTTAAATGGTACATCTGTTTGCCTCCCTGGGCTCCTTGGGGAGGGGAGGACTGGATATAAATTCAGTAAATAATGACAGCAACAGCCCTACTTTGGTCCTTAAGCAATGCAGTTGGTTGGTTAGCTTATACAAACTTTCATGTGACAGGAGGCCTCAGTACTATTAAGTTCCTGCCTACCTGCCATTTATGAGATTGTATCTTTCACAGCAGCCTAAAATAAACTCCTATCACCACCACCATCTCCAGCTGGTGGTGAGTATAGACCTCACAACCAACCAAACGCCTCACGAAAACAAACAATGGGTGCAACAAAAGTGGAGCAAGTGGTCAGTGGAATAAACCTATTTTCTGCTCTTTCAGGGCAATACTTGATGGTATAATAACCATTTTATCCAACTGTTTTCAAGTTGTTTTCTTACCATGAGATGTAGTTCTGATAACACCTCTGCAGTTTCCTCAGTCCCATGGAAAGTAACGTGAGTAGCGAACATCATGAACATTTTCCATGAGCACTCGTATTTCTCTGTATTTAGAGATCCTGATGAAGCACTTTGTTCCCTGATGTTCCTGTTCAACTAGTCACAGCCCCCAGATTGCTACATCAGGAAATTTAGATGTCCAATGTAGATTTCTTTTATATTAAAAAAAATCTTCCATGGACAAGTGGAGCTTTCTGGCAGTATTAGTCATAAGTATTACGTATGCAAAGACCTCACAAAGCTACCCTCAGAATAACGTGAGGCTGCATTTGCGTAGGCAGCACCCAAAGGTCGCAAGGGCACATTGAGAAGTAGATGGAGGAATCTGGGTTGATAAGGTGTCAGACATATATTCATAACATATTCAAAACAGCCACTCAAAATCATTTTGATCAAGAAACCTGAAACCTCCACAATGCTTCTCCATATGGTATATACATCGTATGTACATTAGTGGATCATTCCAGGCGTTAAGTCCTCTGGTACTATCAATTCTGTAATGGTGTGTGTTAAGAGACAAGCAACTCTAATTGTAAATAGCAAGCGAGTGTACACATTTCAGCAGCAGGAATGGTTTTGTTAACTCAGTCTCGAAGAATTTACTATGCTTAAGAAGTTCCATGTTAATGCTGTCCCAAGCAGAGAGAGCCATACTCTCATGTGAGAATTACTTTTGCTCACCCTTTTGTTCAATTTGTTGCTTTTTAGTTACAGAAACCACTCTTTGGGGAAATTCTCTTGCGCAATATAAAAGATCTGGAGGTGGGGGAGAGTCAGGGATCTCTGAGAAAACCACACCCACCTGAGGACATTTCCCCCCAAAGGTCTTTGCCCACCCCCACCCCCCACCCCGGCGGCAGCATAACTCCTAGTGCATGCTGCTTTCTGTTGTCCATGTGCAATTTTTTTTTTGGGGGGGGGGAGAAACCAGTGTGTTTTTCTTTTTTAAAGGACTTTCCTGCATACCTCATGGATCTCTCCACATCTTAAAGGACCCAACAGAGCCTTGTTTCTTTCACATTTCTGGTACTTGCCCAAACTGAAACACTAAAGTTTATGAATGGGGACTGTACTAGGTCAAGATGGTGTCATAGCCCTGGGCATGAGTCCAAAGGTGAGCTGGCTAAGTCTGGAGCAGCTGTACTGGTGCTGACCTTGAGCTCACGGAGTCCAAGCAAGGAATCTTAAATAGCTGCCTTCTGCACTGTGCCAGCCCAACAATATGGGGAGTGCATCAGGTGGGAGGCCACTGAAAGAGAGATTAACACTTATTTTCTAGATGTAGCCCTTTAAGATTCACATTCTTCAGGCCAACAGGGTGGGAACAGTGGTGTGTGTGTGTGTGTGTGTGTGTGTGTGGACTCATAAGGCCTCAGTAAGAACAATATGCTTGCTCAGAATTATCTTCGGTGTTGTAACTACTGATCTGCCTCATAACCATGGGTTCCAGCTCAGAACAAAATATGAAACGTCATGAGTAGTCTGGGAAAGAGCAGTTTCCGTAGGGCAGGGACGTCCAACTCCCAAGAGGCTGCTATCTACTCTGGGGGGTGGGGTGAGGGTGGGAATCCAGCAGTGATCTACACATTTGGGGGGGGCGAACCCAAAGTTGTTAAGCTTTTTGGGGGGAGCAGGCCAAAGTTGTTGAGCTTTTTTTAGTTTTGTTTTCGCAGTCGTGTGCCATTGAAGGGAAGAACAAGTGGGCTGGTCCAGATGCTCTCCCCCCCCCCCCGTGGAGGGAAGGGCCTCCGCGATCAACATCAAACTACCACTATCATCTGGGGGTCGACCTGTCAATAGCGGTCGACCAGTTGGACATCCCTGCTGTAGGGCAAGGGGACTTTCAGTACCGTGTTACCCTTCATTTGTTCACACTCTTCCCTCCACCACCCCAATCTCAAAATTCTGGATGAAATTTACATGCTATACTACACAACTTGTGTCTCTTTGATATTTTTTATATTATCTACACCTCAGTCTCTCTACCATGGCACTCAAAAATGACTCAAAAATATATGCACTGCATAGAAACATTGACAGGACACTAGCTATGCTGTCCATCAGGGTTTTGTGTTTTTGAACACTGGAGAAACTCACTGTTTCATTTGATGACCAAGTAATTTGATGACAAAATCTGATAGTTCTGAGCTCTGGAAATTAATAGAGACTAGTCCAAACTTGGAATAAACACACAGAGCCACATTAACAATGAGACTCGATTATAGCTTTATTTAATTGGTACGAATTTTCCCTCCCAAGCAGAATCTTCCGGTTCCCTATTTGAAACAGAGCCAAACCTGGTTTTTCCAAGGAACTTGACCCCATGAGCCAAGTATATTCTGCCACCGTATTATGAATAAGTCAGCAGCACATCAGCAATTATTTCACCCTCTTATCAGATCAGAAATCACACACTTCCCAACGGGAAGCAGAAAAGCAGCAACCTTCTAATTCAGGAGAACAATATAATCTGGGAACTATCTAGCTCCCAGGGCAAACCTACCCACTTCTATCAAGACTGCTGAATTTGTCAAGACAATAGAGTTTAATATCAGCCTATGAAAAATATATAAAAAAACAGGCCCTAAACAGAGCACACTGTTACATTATACAGTACACAGATGCATTCCCTTAGCTCAATACAAGCTCAAGACGCCTGCATGATGCAAGCAGAACAAATCATAGACCCAATATAGTCCCACCCGCACCCCAAGTTTTTTGTAGCAACATAACTGCTTTCGGAAAGGCTATAAAATTGGCTTGTCTGTCCCTCCATATGTCCAAAACCGTAATCTGAAGTCTCCGCTGACCTGTTTGCTAAGTTATTCCCACATATTGCAAACAGCATGTTTCATAATTAAAAGGCTTGGGGATTTCCCATGAGGAGGCTATAGCAGTGAATAGGGAAGTTTGCAGAATGCCAGTTTTAAACCAGGAAAATGGGGGTGGGGTGGGATTGGACTACATACACTTTAATAGAACTGGCATTGCAATTGTAATGCATCAGTGTCCAGCAAGTTTAGCAAATATAGAATAAACACTTCCCAGTTGTTGAACATCAAAATTGCTGCTACATCAAAATTGACATTATTACCATAGAACACTGTGTGACTACTGGGACCTAGGCTGAAAAAACAATCCTCCATCAATGATTTAGAAATCTATGGTTTTTCAGTTAATATATAGTTCACTTTACTCAACCATTAAATATATTTTGGAAAATTCATTTCATTTTTGGAGAGTGGCTGTCTAACAGGTGTAATTGATTGTGCAAGTCACTATCATGAAACAGTCAGGGTAAGATATTTGTATGAACATCTTAAGCCAACTGTTCTCTTCTTCTTCTTCTCCTCCAGCTTGGGAAAGCACTGGTCCCCCCGCCGCCCACCCCCAGGGTGGCAGAAGTCAGTCATTCTAAATATAATCCAGCTCCCTTTCTAAAGCCTCTATAACCCAGCACTCTGGCTACCGTAGAATGTATAAAATCCCTTGTACACTGCTGAATAGGACACTTTCATCAGGGAGAGCTAAGCTCATGAGAAACCTTGCTCTTTCTTTAAATTGGTGTCCCAGCAGCCCTGGTAGGAGATCCTTTTGCATGCCTTTCACCACCTCAGCTATGAAAGACTTACACTTCCCTACAGTGTGAAAATATGCAGCATATGCCGGGATGCACTCAAGAGTTCAGACAGTGCAGGATTCAAGACCCACCCACCCCTGAAGTTTTAAAACACTGAATCTTCACCCCTGCCCCAAAGACATTGTAAAGACTGCAGCCAAGAGCCCTAATAACCTTCAGCAGAAGCACAACTAGAAAGCAGTTCTAAGTGCACAAGCCACAGAAATTATTTGGATTCAAAACAAAACAGGAGACCCACCAGTTTCACATGGTTTGACAACACAGGAATCGGGGCGGGGGGGGGGGAGGAATGGCACCAACATATACAGTAACTCTCTCCGTTAGCACCAATGGAATGTTAGTGCAATGGATGCATACAGATGTGACGAGCGCGCTGGGGAAGCTCACTTGCCACACTTGTGCCACACACACACAGTCTGAGCTCAGGAGGATTCTGCTTTTCCAGTTTGAGTAGAAGCCAGATTAACACAGCATTGATTGGCCAGCCCTTGAGTCACTCGTAAATGTTCCCCACCCACCCAAAGCATTGCTCTGTGCAGCGCCGATTAGCTGACAGCCATGGCTGAGCCATGAAACCTCCCCACTTTCTCGGAGCATGTTCCAAAGAGTAAAACTAAAAACCAACCAAGACCGAGCAAATACCCACAAAGAAAAAAACCTTTTTGTCAAAATGCTAAACATCACAAGAAGCAGGTGACGTATGAAGGCCGGGAGCGGTGGTGGTGCGGAATAAATGCAAAGCAGACAGCTCACCTGAAACATGGCGGCCGTGTGGTGAGAAAGGAGAGAGAGACTGCTCTGGATTGTGTGTCAGCAAAGGAGCAAAGTCAGGGGGAAAGTGGCGCTCACCCTGCACAACCAACCCTCCCCACCCCAAAGGCCCACAAGCCCACTCCTGTTTTCAGGAACGTCTGTACACAGCCCATGTTTCTGTAGCCAATGCAGGAAAGAAAGAAAAGATTTGGAACATAATGCCAAAGAGACAAATAGCTGAGAAGGTGGCAAGTAAGATGGGCAGGCACAAGGTTGGGAGGGGGACTTATTAATGCCACATGTTTGGGTGAACACTGGATTCTGGGGGGGTTCAGAAGGGGAGAAGAGGGATCGTCTGGATACAGAAGATGGTTGCTTGCTTAGCAGGATACTTCCATAGTCTGAGGAGCACCAGCTGCTCCAGGAATTCCAGCCGCTGCCTCCCCTGGGTTGCTGGCTTGAGACCGTGTTTGGCTGCTCTCTCCAGAGCCAACGCTGGAGGACGACTGGGTCCGGGAGCGGATCAGTCTGGTCATACTTGCAGATGGCACTGGAAGGAGAGAGGCAGTGAAGACCAGAAATAAGCAAGTTTTGTTTTACCTTACTAGAAAATGCCTTCGAAATGGAAGAAGCGTAAAGTGGAAGGGGGGGGAGTGGTGCTGCAGGAAAACAAACAAAAGGACACATCACCTTTTCGAAGCTGCCTCCAAGGCGATAGCGCAAGGTTACACTGGCAAATGCAAGTTTCCCAAACCCATGTTTACCATGGTGAAACAAATGTGGGGGGCATTGTAAAGGAGAAACAGCAGGTGGGAATAGGTGCTTAATCCCTCCAACGTCCCCTGCATATGCAAACCCACCCAGCTGCTCCACCCCCACATTCCCTAGTTGTGCTTTCATTTTGTACCCCTCCCACTTGCAAGTGCCCCCCCCCCACATCTGCTGCATGATAGGATTGCGGTATTTCAGACAGTGACAACCCGGACAGAAAAGTTGTTGAGTCTTGCCCAACACTGTTGGACAGACATTGCTAGAGACAGAGGTATTCCGGAAATTCCAAACATATGGCAAACCTATGTATGAGGAAATTCCAGGGTTGAGAATTCAGTTTTATTTTTAGCATATGATTCCATTCTCAGGTATGAAAATGAAATGCACGCATATGATTGAGGATGCTTAAGGCTTGATGTGCATAACTGCTGAAGACTCACTGCAATGCAGTCACCTCTCTGTGTGTGCATAAGAGTGCATAAACTACTATGCTCACATAGTAGTTTAAAAAGAAGAAGAAGAAGAAGAAGCAGCAGCCAGGAATCATAGATTTTACTCCTGGATCATCACTGAGCTGCAGAACCATGCAACAGCCAACCAAATGCAAATGAAACCACTAAGAAAATTGTAGCGCAAGAAGCGTACAGTGGGATGGCCTAAGAATGCAAAATGTCGCCAGGCCATGCTAGAAGCAGAGTAACGCATCAGAAAAAAAAGTAACTCAGTCAAACCAGCCACACACTTGTAGGTACCTGACTCAGTGCTCAGGTGACTGAGCTGCACGTAAGGGACTGGAAGCAAAGACAAGAGAGGGAATGGGAAATACAGGTTAGTGTAGACATGACATGCCTAGAAGAATGTACGCTGCTTGAGCACCAAGCCTGAACACGCAGTCTTTCAGTATTTGCAACATGGTAGAACTTCAGGCAATGTGCTTAACACCACACTAGACGACCTGCAAATATAGTTTCTACTTTCTTGGGCCTTTAAATGTCAAGTGATTTTTTCCCCCCAACCCTAAAATTAATTTCTGGCAATATACCTTCTTTTTGCCACAGGCACACAGATCATGAAGACAGGTGATGCAGGAATTTCCCCCCCGATGAAGTTACCTGTAGCAAAAGGCTTGATCCTGTTTTGAATACAAGTACAGGGCTGCCAATCTAACCACAGGATAGACCTTGGCAATTAACATTTTCCTTTCTGGAACTCTCCCAATTTAACCCACTCACTGAGGAATTTGGGAATCTGGACAAATATGCCTACAGTTCAGACAAGGCCTTCCTCCAAGTCCAGCAATATGCATGGCCCTTATTGGCCAATAGTGAAAAACACCAAGCCTCAATGGGAAAAAATAGACCTATCAGCAGCCTAGTGGGGTCTGAATGACAGGTAATTCCCAATCCTGCCCTCTGTGAAATAAGACAGTGTTGTTATAACTTACTGTAGCCCATTCCCTGCACGAAATACTTGAAGGCTTCAGTCAGTTTCCCAGGCTGAAAAAATAAATATAAATATAAGCATAAACATAAACATAAATATAGCCATTATTTATACCCCTAAAAGCATACAAGATGCAGGAGACCCACTAAAATGAGAGCTCACCTGAACGACTTGAGGGAGCCCTCCACAGTCTGCCATCTGCAAGAAGAAATGGAGAAAGGAGAGAGTCAAAACCAAGATAAAATAACATTCAGCTGAAAATGCTGAGCAAACAAATGAAGCCTAAATTAGCCCAGCAAGTGGTGGATTATAGCATCAAGCTGAGACACAGTGTCTATTTCCAGCAAACATAGCTTTAAATTGAAGTTTCCTCAGGGAAAGAAAATGAATGGCATGCTGAGACGGGGAGCCTTCAGTGACATTAGCCACTGGGGAAGACGGCAAAAGGGAAGTATATTTAATAGGGTTGAGGTTAGCCCTCATTACTGGATTTGGACTAAGAGGAAGCACAGCTGCTAACAAACCCATTCCCTGCTGCCATTTCAGCGCAGCCTCCAGAGTACACTTAAATGCAGGTATACAACTCTGATTTCTTCCTCTGTCATAACACTAGAACTCAGGGACCTCAAATGAAGACTCGAGGCAGACAAAAGAAAATACAGTATTTTTCACTCCATAGGGCGCACCGGACCATAGGGCGCACCTAGTTTTTAGGGGGGGAAATAAAAAAAAATCTTATTTCCTCCCCCAGCCCCAAAGAGCAGCGTACAGGCTGCGCGTAACCTCTCCCTTCCGGAGGGGTTGCACGCGGCTATGGCACAAGCCAAGACAGTGCTGTCTTGGCTTCCTCTTTAGCTGTGTGCAACCTCTCCAGCCGGGAGAGGCTGCGCGGGGCTAAAGAAGCCATAGCCACATGCAGCCTCTCCCTGCCGGAGGGGCTGCGTGCGGCTATCCCTGAATCCTGGAGAGCGAGAGGGGTCGGTGCGCACCAACCCCTCTTGCTCTCCAGGCTTCAGTGAAAGCAACGCAAAGCCTCCAGAGCGCAGAGGGAGCGCTCCCTCTGCACTTTGGAGGCTTTGCGTTGCTATCGCTGAAGCCAAGGAGCCTGCATTTGCTCCATAGGACGCACACACATTTCTCCTCAATTTTTGGAGGGGGAAAAGTGAGTCCTATAGAGCTAAAAATACGGTATTTCTTCATGCAGGGCATTGTTAAACTATGGCATTCACTCTTGCGTGAGATAGTGAAAGATATCAACTTGGATGGCTTAAAAGAGTATTACACAAGTTAATGGAGAATAAGGCTATCAGGATGTCACCATTGCTATTGCCCTCTGGATCTGCTTACGTGCTTCCCATAGGCATCTGGTCAGTCATTGTGAGAACAGAGTTATGAACTAGATGGGGCCTTTGGTCCAATCCAGCAGGCTGTTCTTATGTATTGGAGGATGGCAAACCAGGAACCACAATGAACTCTGGAATGACAGCCCCCAAGACAGCCACTCAGAGTTGATGGTTACCTTCAAGAGTGTTGTATTCATTGGATCCAGCCGTGAATTGCATTCAACCTACAAAGCACAAAACAGCATTTATTTCCCCCTCTCCGTTATTTATCTAATTCATAGTTATTACCAAGGATCCAGCAAAGGTGGGGACTGGAAACAGGAATATCAGACTTCAGCACATCAAAGTAAGGGATTTGGTAGATAAGATACAATGTCCCTGTTCTTTCTCGGTAGTGGCACCCGCCCTGTGGAACGCCTTTCCATCAGATGTCAAGGAAATAAACAACTATCTGACTTTTAGAAGACATCTGAAGGCAGCCCTGTTCAGGGAAATTTTTAATGTCTGATGTTGTATTGTGTTATAATTTGTTGGAAGCCGCCCAGAGTGGCTTGGGGAACCCAGTCAGATGGGCAACATAAGGAAGAAGAAGAAGTTAGGATTGAGAGTTTTTCCGGGTATCTGATGTGACTGATATATGCCCATATGAAAGATGCATGAACATGTAGACCAGAGGTACCCAATGTGGGGAACTCCAGATGTTGTTGGACTCCAATTCCCATAATCCTCACACAGCACAGACAAAGATGATGGGAACTGTAGTCCCAAAACACAGAGTGCACAATGTTGGTTATATCTAATAAAGTCTAGTTATGGCATCAAAAGCCAATACAGTGAATAAAAAGCTGGACTTGGAAGTCCTGTGTTCAAATTTCTGCTCAGCCATTAAGCTTGCACAGCCTTATCTAACCTTAATGTTAACAGCAGAATAAAATGACACAAATGAAACACTAAGGCAAGTCTCCAGGAAGCACAAAACAGAGACAGCACATACATTCTAAATTTCTCAACCTCCACAGTTGACACTGAAAGCAGAGATGCAGATTCACTGTTAACTATAGCAGCCAGAGAAACTGTGGTGCTGAAAACTCATTTGATATGAGAACAGAGAATTTGAGAGGGAAGTGGCAACACCAATTCACACAACCACATCTCTCAGGGCTGGTGTTGATGTTATTTTACCCACTTGAATCTTTGTGAGAGCAGAAGGGAATGAACTGAGAGACAGAGAGACAAAAAGAGTCGCTCGATATACATTGCCTTTATAACATCAGAATGGGCTGCATTGATCTAGACACAAGTATCTAATCACCAGCACCCCAATCTGTGCCTAACTGGTAGGACATGTATGTTGAAACTTGCCCAGATATTAACTACAGTTCAGAGATGAGATCCCCCACCCTCCCCTTGAACGTTAAGACACCAGGAGGAGAAATTATACCTGTGTCAAAGAGCTTTGACAGCTCATGAGTAATTAAAAGTATTTCATAACTCAGCTTATGACAGCTGTCAGACTTACTGTTGCTAAATTTTGGAGTACTTTGAATGGCAATCTTTTTGAAATCTGATTTTTACAGATTTGGGACTCGGCTCTGATAGACAAGCTAACAGATAAAGTATGGCAATGATGGATTAATAACAAAAATCAGACAAAGTTTATTTTAAAAAATGGTTCCGCTTTCTTTCTTATGCCCTCACAAAAGAACATGAATACAGACCACCAGCAATTCAAGGAGACCTGTGGAAGGACACCTTCATTTGCCAGGCAGAATACTTTTCAATAATTCCTTGACTATTCTGCTATCACAAAACTGTATTTTGGGGGGTGGGGAAATGGGAACTTTGTTATGATTATATACTGTGATATATGAAAATCAATAAGTGAATAATTTAAAAAGCAATGGCCTGTGTTTTATTCTCACACAAATTCAAGACTCATGGATACAAGCAAACCTCTCACTTGATAAATACTACTTGAATGGATTGTGTGAAATTTGCAGAGTTCTATCTTCCAAGAAAGGAAGGAAGTGGAGAGTAAGGAGTATAATTAACCAGGCATACTTACCACAGCTTCAACTGCTGGTGAGCTGTCCCCAACCACTAATAAGACAGGACACCTGTACAAAAGCCACAGGATAAAGTTGTAGTCTGCACAATGTAAACAAGCATCAACTCCTGCTGTCATAAATTCTGCTGTTTTATTTTTTGCTAAGAGTTGCTAGCATTTCTATAAAGCAACCCTAAACCAAGAAGATACCATCATTTGTATTACAGTTCCTGTTCATTTGAATACCCTACAATTCTGGTCTGCAATACATCTCCATTGCTCCGCAACAAAACATCCCACCATACTAGCTATTGGAGTCTTGGGAGAACCCCCAGAGAAGATTTGGGGAGATGCAGGAGGTGTGTAGGGGAGGGAAAGGTTTGTTGCACAAGCAGAAGACATTCCGTGCACAAAGTGACTTCACCGGATACAACATCATGTTCATGAATACTTCATTATGCTGTATTTCTATACTAGATCACTATTTCTTAATGTACTTAATGCCAGTGTACATTCATTCATTCATTCAAACATGCGTGTACCAACTGATAGAGCCACAGGGAAAGTGAACTCACCATATTTTGTTCATATGTACAACTTTTCCCCCACGATGGAGCTTGGGGAAATAATTATCTGTGCTTTAGGGCAGATACCCACTGTGCAGTGCAATGACTGGCTGAAGGCCTGTGTCATGAAACATCCATCACCCCAGCAACAGTTTTTCAAACATCTGAAGGGCTATGACATAAATGGATCACATTTGGTTTTTGTTGTTCCAGAGGGTAGCACCAGAACCAATTGGTTTGAATTGCAAAAAAGGGGATTTCAACTGAACTTTAGGAAGAATCGCCACGGTGAAACAGAATGCCTAGAAGGCATTCCTTTGTTAGAGGTTTTTAAGCGGAGTCTGCACATCCATGTATCTATCAATGGATTTCCTGCATTAGCAGCGGGTTGGGGTTTAACTGACTTGGAGGTCTTTTTCAACTTTAGGAGAGAGAAATGAATTAAATAAAAATAAAGGCAGTTAGATAGCCTGAAGTAGATATTTGGGGTGCAGATAACTCAATTAAGCGTCCAATTTGCAAGTTGTTCTACCAAAAGCATTGCAAAAGGAGATAAATCATGTACTACATTAATATTTTTAAAGGACGTGGAACTCTGGGTACACGGGCAATGGGGAAACAGAGGAAACAGAATACTGCTAAACTTAGAAAAGGAATTCCACATATTTTCAAGCACAGGTTCAAAGATGACCAAGATAAACTTACTTGAGTGTTTTTCCTGCCTCTTCAGTCATACCCAAGACTGGCCTCTCAATGTCCAGATCTCTACGGCTAGGAAGACAATAGGAGAGGACCAAGTCAAACAAGGCTGGGATGGAGACAACGTGGGCATTGCCTAACTCAGGCATCCCCCAATTCGGACCTCCGGAAGTTTTGGAACTACAACTCCCACCATCCCTAGCTAACAGGAGCAGTGGTCAGGGATGATGGGAATTGTAGTCCCAAAACATCTGGAGGGCCACGTTTGGGGGTGCCTGGCCTAACTACTCTACGAGGTGCACAATTTCCCTCTTGTTACCAACAAGAGGCACATGTGCTTTAGTCCCCATCCACCCCTCAGCTTGTTGCATGACTATTTTATGTCCTAGTTGTTTGCTCTATTCATAAGCTAAAAAGCATAAAAAGAATGAAGCAACCAGACTAAGATTTTGCTTAGATAAAAAAGCCCTGACAACTAGAACAACTTTATAGGGTCACATGTTGATGGCACTGGATCTTAAACTGAAGAAGGGAACCTGGTAAGCTTCTTGAACGAGGGAGGCTCTTTGATTTTTTTAAAACAAAGGCTATTCCAATATACATGCTGTCAACTGCTGCAGAAGCACTATGTATGCACAATTATACTTTCAAGGTTGGGGTGGGGAGTGAAACAGGATTCTATACCAGTCTTGTACCTGTTATAGGAGGTGACAAAGAGCTGTAAGTTCTCCTGATTGATGTCCTGTGCAATATGAAGTCTGTAGGTCTGGATCAGCTCCAAGTTAGCCTGCAGTTCTTCCTAGTGAAGAATGACAAATATTCTAATCAGTCGTCCTTGCTAACCATGCCATTAAAAAAAAAGCAAATATGCAAGGAATTTGTGAAATGAAACTACAAAAAACCCTTTCGATACAAGCTTTCAAACATGCCTTTTAGGACTCATTTGCTCTAGTTTGCCTTTTACAATGTTTTTAATGAAACTGATTCCTGAAACTTGGCACTTCTTTATAATTCTGATTATGTGGTTTTTGTAAACACTCTGATGCACTTCAAATTAAACTCCTTTAGTTGTACACCACATTGAGAGGCCTACGCCCTAAGAGACAGAATATAAATATTACAAATACAACACTTGTATGAAGAGCTTGCTGTAAAGGAAGGAGAGATAGTGGGAGGTCACATATACATGTACTTGCAGCATGAGTATACACATAAAGAATCAACACACGGGAAATATTCCAGTGCTGGAATGTTTAGCAATGCCTGGTCATCCCAGAATGCTCAAGAAAAGGGGAGCAGAATGTCAACACACACTTTTTTTTTACTCATTCAACAACTCAAAACTGAGACAGTAATAATGCTATTGTAAGCAGCTACTGAGGTTAGGATCAAAGCAGTTCATTTTTATTTAAAGTTCTTTATATTAATAGGCATTTTCGATATTGGAGCCAGCAGTTGACTTACATGACCAAAATGGTGAGCCAGAACAATGTCCACAATGTTTGTTGTCCACCCAGAAAACTGGAAAAAAAAGAAAAGTCAAATTATTTCAAGTGGTGGCACTACATGGTAGTCAAGCAACACAGAACAGGCTGCAGTCACAACTCCAACACCCATTTACTTTTGAAGAAACCACATTAAATCCAATGGGATTTTACTTCTGCGCAGACATGATGGGGCTAATGAAAGATGTAATCCAAGATCTGGAGGGGACCACACTGGCTACCCTGATGTGCATAAATCTGGCAAACAATTATACAACAGTGCATATGAAGGCAAAAGTAAGTATTTTTTTTTCTTGTTTAAAAGTTCCATCCCACTGGCTCTTTTTTATTTATTTTTTTAAACTGCCTGTTGCATTCCATATGCATTGCCATAGAAAAAGTACCATATTTTTCTGTTTATAAGACTAATTTCCCCCCCTGAAAAATTAGGGGGCGTCTTATACTCTGGCCATGAGTAGGCAAACTAAGACCTGGGGGCCAGATCCGGCCCAATCGCCTTCTAAATCCGGCCCACGAACGGTCATGGAATGAGCGTGTTTTTACATGAGTAGAATGTGTGCTTTTATTTAAAATGCATCTCTGGTTTATTTGTGGGGCATAGGAATTCATTCATTTCCCCCCCAAAAAAATATAGTCCGGCCCCCCACAATGTCTGAGGGACAGTGGACTGGCCCCCTGCTGAAAAAGTTTGCTGACCCCTGCTCTGGGCCATCTCCCCCCCCCCATTTTCTTAAATCTGAGTCCCCCAAAATAGGGGGCGTCTTATAGATGGAAAAATACGGTATATAGAAAAGTATATTCTTTGGCTCTGTGTCAGCTACATGGCTGGGTATGTCTAGTGATACAACATAAGTAATTAGAATAAAGAAGAGAAGAGTTTGACCTTTGCTTTAAAAAAGCAAACAAATGAAAGGCAAAGCAGTCATCAATAATATCAAAGCATTCACTAAAACCTAATTCCAGTAACTGAATCAGCATTGGCATTCCAATTATGGAAGAACAATCCTACCTTAGATGCTGCCCAGTCCATCCATCCTTTTCCACATGGGTCAATGTTAACAAGTACCAGACCTTCCACCAAGTCAGGGTGATGCAACTAAAAAATAAAAAACCACTTGTAAATTGCAGGTAGAAAAAGATTTAATTCTCCCTTTCCCCCAAAGATTGGCATGAGAATCTGGGACACGGCTTATGTGACTCAGCTGTCTAATATGATAAGAGTAAGGAAAGAGAGTTTTTTAACCTGAAAAACAGACCACTTTTGTTATATAATGTAATAATAAGGTTCAAGATATGCTACAACCTTACTCTTCATTAGCAGTAACTGAATTACTGATTTCAGTCTCGATTAGTAAAGCGTACTTGATTATATATAATTTTGTTCCTAAAAGCAAGATAACACGAGCCAGAAAGATGAAACTTTTATAAAATAACTTAATTGTTTTTCTTAAGTTCTGGTTAGATTAAAAAAAAATGGAAATGGAAAATGAGGATTTAATACATTTCAATTCAAAATGAACTTCTTTTTTCAGGAACATGTCTAGTGTGTATGTTCCCAAAATTGTGCTTTAAAATGCAAAGGAGTATGAATGACTAGCCTAGACCACAGTAACTAAAAGGCAACCATGTATGAGCAATGTATACCGCCTTGAGCTCCTTGAAAGGTGGTATATAAATGCAATACAATAAAATGAAATGAAATAGCCACAATATTAAGGGTGCATGCCAAAGAGCTCAGTTTAGCCTGGGAAATAATACATGAGAAGACTAGTAGACTTAACTGGCACTTAAGGGATGCGGGTGGCACTGTGGGTTAAACCACAGAGCCTAGGACTTGCCAATCAGCAGGTCGGCAGTTCGAATCCCTGCAACGGGGTGAGGTCCCGTTGCTCGGTCCCTGTTCCTGCCAACCTAGCAGTTCGAAAGCACGGCAAAGTGCAAGTAGATAAATAGGTACTGCTCCAGCGGGAAGGTAAACGGTGTTTCCGTGCGCTGCTCTGGTTTGCCAGAAGCGGCTTAGTCATGCTGGCCACATGACCCGGAAGCTGTACGCCGGCTCCCTCGGCCAATAAAGCAAGATGAGCGCCACAACCCCAGAGTCGGCCACGACTGGACCTAATGATCAGGGGTCCCTTTACCTTTAACAGTAAATTTACTGGCTTGTTGAGTGATCATCCTCCTGGAATTGAATAGCAGCCCACAAGGATCTATCCATCACTTTGAATTAACTGTCTCACCTTTCATCAACTTTTTATGGAAGTCCTTCCTCCAGAGGGGTTGGGACATCCATGATTCAGGCCACTTGCTCTTACCAGTATTTCTCATTACTGCACTCATCTCTGCTAGGTGTGTTTTTATAAACAGGCAGCCCTATTCATGGAGCACAGAGAGACAGAATTTGTTCACACAGGGAAATCAACAGTCAGAGGCTACTTACTGCAAACTTGCTAAGGATATAAGCGCCAGCTCCAACGCCAATACCAATTACGCTTTTCAGACTGAAAGAGAGTTCAAAGTGAGAGCATGCTTCAAAGCCCGTAACATACCCAGCCATCGTCCTTTAGATCAGCAATGAGATGGGTGATCTGCTGGAAGGGAGCTACTGTGGTTCATGGTGAAGAACAATGGGGTGGTTACAAAAATACCGCATGTATAATTTAAATGAAACTGAGCAACTGCTTCATTTCTATGCATCCTAAACACATGTCTCTCCTCTATTCCTGGGGAAGGTTCTGGGGAATGGGGACATGCTATGTGGACATCCTGCAGTGAAGCAAATTATTAAAGGTCTGGGTGTCTTTGTATACTTGCCTCAGGTGCGTAAGAACAGCAGGGAGCATTTCAGCTAATTCATCAACAGAGGGATACTGGTATCTGAAACCATAAAAAGGGGGTGTTAGTTAAGAAGAGAGGCTGCCAATAGCTGACATACATTAACTCAAACCCTAAAGATGTTATTTCAAGGCACACAATTCTGCAAAGAGGTTCCAATAATAATAGATCCTGGGGCTGAAGCCTGACATCTGGGAATAGATATGTGTACTGACCAAAACCACACAATTTAAAAGTCGAAGTAGCTCACAAGAGACCTTCGTCTTGCAGGCAACACTCCCAAATAGCATACATCTCTCCCAGCTCCCGAGGGAGACTCTACAGCTACCTCCACAGCAAAGCCGCAAAAACAGGCATGGCAAGTCTGGCTCTATTTGTTTGCCTTTGTATTTCAAGCTCTCTCAACAATAGCGGTAGAATTCTGTACAGCAAAAGGAGAGCAAGGAACTAGGTAGAGCCCTTGCCCAAAATCCTTCCAATCCATACATTATCACATCTACATAACTTCCACTCATTAAGGAGTGCTGCAGCATTATATAGGGAACACGGGTGGCGCTGTGGTCTAAACCACAGAGCCTAGGGCTTCCCGATCAGAAGGTTGGCGGTTCAAATCCCCGCAACAGAGTGAGCTCCCGTTGCTCAGTCCCTGCTCCTGCCAACCTAGCAGTTTGAAAGCACATCAAAGTGCAAGTAGATAAATAGGTACCGCTCCGGCGGGAAGGTAAATGGTGTTTCCATGTGCTGCTCTGGCTCACTAGAAGCGGCTTAATCATGCTGGCCACATGACCTGGAAGCTGTCTGCAGACAAACGCCAGCTCCCTCAGCCAGTAAAGCAAGATGAGCGCCCCAACCCCAGAGTCGTCCGCGACTGGACCTAACGGTCAGGGGTACCTTTACCTTTACCTTTACAACATTATATAGCAGAAGTACTATAGAAAACTACAAAACGGAGCCCACATAAAAAAATGAGAGTAGCAATTAAACTACAATGCAGCAGTTAATGAAATTTGGATTGAAGAATTCTCTTTAAAGCCAGGCTTTCTTTTTCCCAGTGGAGAGAATTACACAAATAGGGTGTCGCCACTGAAAAAGCCTCGTCTCAATCTGTCTGACGTGTCTTATCAACATGCCATACAACAGGACCTCAGAGACTGGTCTTAAAACCTGGCGCAGGCAGCCCCAGGGAAAGAGATCAGAGAAATGTTACTGCACTTACCCAGAGGGGAAAGGGGGAGCCCCTTCTTGCTGTCCTGGGGCATCGACATGGCACACAGCAAAGTGCTGAGTGATTTCCTGCATGTCTTCAAAGTTGAAAAAAGCATTGAAGCAGGACTTGTCTGTAAGAAAAAAACACTGGGAATGACCACGTGTGAAAGCACTGCTCCATTCTGACTTTAGGCTCATGTTTTGAACTGTGACCACACCAAACAAGAAAGAAAGAAAGAAAGAAAGAAAGAAAGAAAGAAAGAAAGAAAGAAAGGCTGGAACCGAATGTGTGCCATGGTTCTCTCTTGTCCTTAAAGTCATCAGTAAGAATATAGTTGCTGAACTTGCAAACCAAAAATTGCCTAGGTCTGCTTACCTAGAAATAAAGGGGACTTACGGTTTAGTCCAATATCATGGTATGTGAGGATGGCGGGCCTGTTTCCTTTTGGGGTGCCCCGCATAGTGACATGAACAACTCCACAAGCTGTCTCGATGTCATGCTCCTAGAGGAAAAAACAAACAACCCACCTGGCTATTAGAGCAAACAAGCGCTGAGGAGACATCTTGGCTGGGAAGCAGTGAGCCCCCAGCAACAGGCTTATTAACCATTGAGGAAATGTGTTTCCTGTTTAGACATGGAGCACTCAAGGTGACTTACAAATAATAACAATAAGAGTTTAAAAATGGTCACACTAAAACAAGTTGGAATGCTGCTTTTCCTTTGTTAACTAAAAAAGAGATGATAACGAAACATACATATTACCACTGGCAAGTTGTGGAGGGGGAGGGTATATATGTTTTATTCTGTCCATGTTTCATTCTATCAATAAAAACCTTTAAAAAAACATAGGCACAATTCAATAAATGCTTTTAAAAAACCAAACATTTCTGGTGGCTGGAAGAACCTGCATAGCAAAGGTGCCAGCTGGATCTCTCAAGGAAGAGAATTCCACATAGCCAGTGTCACAATAGCAAAAGCCCAGATGTATACCCTCTTATTTCTCATGAAGGGATGCAGAGCATATGTGTTCCCTATGGTATGGTAGATGTCCCATCCATAGTATCATATACTTGCCACCTACATCAGCGGTTCAGGAACCTGACAACCAATCGGGTGCCTGATACACGAGATATCAGGTTGCACAACAAAGCAGTCTGAGTGAAAGCAGCAATGGATGCACTGAACTGAAAGACACTGGCAGTTATTCTAATCTGTCCCAAGCCCTAATCGGAACTCACGGGACTCTTGTAAAACAGATAGCAGATGCAGTGGTACCTCTGGTTACCAACTTAATTCGTTCTGGAGGTCGGTTCTTAACCCGAGGTACCACTTTAGCTAATGGGGCCTGCCGCGCCATTAACCCGAGGTACTACTTCTGGGTTAGTGGAGTCTGTAACCTGATGTGTTTGTAACCCGAGGTACCACTGTATAGAGGGAAACACAAACGTTGTCGATACACCTGGCGCAGCAGCTTTTATGAAAGCAGATACTCTATGATGATTAGGAAACAAAAAAGGCCCCTTAAGATAGAAACATCAGCTTGAGTTACTGAAATTTAACGTGCCCAAATAGTGCATTGTGAGTTATGCCTGGCTCAAAACCTATTTAGCTGCATGTAAATTTCACTAATTTATATGGAAATTGCTTCTCCATATTAATACATGGTATCTGCTTCTCCTTCTGAAAGCCACCTGGTCAGCCTTTCTCAGTCATTTAGTGACCCCTCCAAACTGTCCTCTGAAGAAGACACAGACGTGCAAAAAGGATGCCAAGCAATAATGAAAGTAAACTTGCAACTATGAAGTATATGAAGTTACCAGGGATGGAAGACCTCGGTTGGTCATTTACATATAAATGGCAAAGGTGATAGCAAAGATGGAAGGAATTAAAACGAAAGTCAGAGCAGGATCTCGGCAAACCCTCCTTGCAAAAGCAGAATGCAGAAGCGCAGTACGAGCCTCTAAGACAGCTTCCCCTGGCCTGAAATCCTCCAGTTGTGGATAGACCAGAACTCCCATCATCCCTGACCACTAGTCATGCTGGCTGTGACTAATAGAGAATTGGAGTCCAAAATCATCTAGAGGGGACAAGATTTCAGGAAGATTGCTCTAGCCTACTAGATCTTAAGGCGGTATTTCATTTTTATTAAGGTCATGGAATATTATCATAATATGGCTAAATGTCAACTGTATTTCATAAACAGGAAAAAAGTTGTGACGTACACACTACAAAAGATCTGTGTTAAAAATAAACGGCGTATGTGAAAGTGTGCCCACCAGAAACTGTTGTTGTGGCATCTGTCTGTCTCAACAGACAATGGAGTGCATATTCAGGGGTGAAGTCAAACAGCTACGTTAGTAGCACCCAAGTAACCTGCCTGAGGTGAAAGCCTGGGTAGTGTGTGGGGAAGTCCTGGGCTGCCCAGATGTTAAGAACCCCCTCTTGGCCTCACTGATGTGGTCCAAAGGAAAGCAGAGCAATACATTTGGCACCAGCTTGGAGTTTCCAGAAGGAAGCATAAAAGCTGCCATCCCATGGTCTTAGGGACTCCACTCTGGATTTGTATAAGGGTGTACTCCTTTGTCTTTTCTTTTCCCAGGTCAACTGACAGTATGACCACAGCAGTCTGCTTTTATGGGATACAACTGTTGTTTCCTAGCAGCTGGGCACTGCTGCTAAGCAACTGCAGGTATGTTCAGAAAAATAATTTGGAGTGGGCAAAGCAATGTAGGCAGGGAAATTAAAGCCTCAGCAACCCCCCCCCCCAAAAAACCCCTAATAAATCTGAAAACAAATGAAAGGTAACAAAGGGCTTATCCACAGTTCGACTTGTCCTGCTGTCCCCCACCCCCGGAAAACTTCTCTTTAGCGCTCAGTCAGAGCAACCACCCCTTTCCCCATGTTCTGATCTATTGTGGAAGTGTGGATGAGGCCAAAGAGTGTGAAAGAAGAAGAGTTGGGACATCTGATCTCCCAGTGGCTTGGGGAAAGATCCTTACAGCCTGGACAGAAGGCATCATCTTTTGACAAGAACTCAGCGTCCACTTGGAGCAACATGACACAGCTGAAATCCTTCCTTTTCGCCTTCACTCTGAACTCCTAAGCTAGCAATCAAGTGGTCAGTGTGCCGCTCCTGATTAGGAGTTGGTGTCAATATATGTGTGTCTGAGTGTGTGTGTATATATTATTTTTTACATATAAATTAAAAGCTATTTGATGTTCTGAACTGCATTCAGTGGACACAGTGTTCTTACCTCCACCTCTCATTAAATATTGAGGTTGGGCTTTATGCACAAAACCTTCTACAGACACGCCTTACTAAGTTTTACCCAGATGAAGATGACTATTGCTCACTTTAGTCATATCAGTGCATGTAATGCAACAGGACAGCCTGTTATAAGGACTCTGAAACTTAAGCTCTGTTCATGTGCTACTTGCATGTAGAGCGAAAGCACAGGAAAAGTAGCCATGGGGTCATGCATTTAGTCCCACCCCCAGTAGTGAACTGCTCCTATATCTGCACCATGTTGAGCATAACATCTGCAGGGAGGAGCTTTCTCTGTGCAGGATTTAGTGTCCTGCATCGTAAATCAAAAGGGGAGCTCCATGCACAGAAAAGACTCCCTGCTGCAGACATTATGCTCAACAGGACAATGGCGGGAACTGGAAGAGCAGCAGCATGACTTCGGGGGTTGTGCTAAATGCGTGGCCTGAAGGTCCCCTTCGCCACACTTGCCCTTTACACATGAGTATTGCATGAACAGGGCTTAAGTCACAACTGAAATGGACCAAGTTTCAGGTATAGGAACTGACATTGCCTGAAAATACTGAAATAATATTGATGTTACTCCCAAACATTTCCACCAAAGGCGGTGTGGGGTAACTAACAGGTTTGGACTGGATTTAAACAGCAGATGGCACTAATCCCCCTTTTAGTCTGCAGTGCTTCCCGCCCACTTTGGGGAGACAGCAGCCCTGCCCTAGAAGATTCATTAGGTGAACATGGTGTGAAGTCTGATTGCTTTCTCAAGATCAGCCTGCTGCTGGCATCCCACGTGAGGCTATCAAGAGCAGCTCTGACGTCTGCTTTCACATTTGAAGTGTGAGCAAGCTAGTGTATGTTATGTACAGGAAGGGTGAAGACACGAGTTGCACATTATCTGCAGGAGGCTGCACAGATTACAGTGACACATCTGCACCGTTGTTTTTAAAGACAAAGAGGTTTAATTAACAAGAGCAAAAGATTTAGCAAAAGGTATTTAAGAAGCAGATCAGCAACACTTTCCTAACTTTGAGCACACATGCAGTAAGTCTCAGAGGATTACTATTTCTGGTAGGAAAAATATTAAGCAAGTTTGAGATGTATGCAAGAAAAATACAAGGTGTTAAAAAAACCCCACCCCTATGTATTTTGCCTTGGTGACAATTATACAAAAAATACTGAAGAAATGGGTCATTTCAGGGACTAAAGTAGGAAACCTGCAGAGAGTTTTAGCCTATAAACTCTGCAAACACAGTTCAAAGGCCTGTCTTTCTGTTAGCTAGTATGCATTCCATGATCTGGCCACACATGGATGTTTCTGCTCTGCACTGTAAAATTAGCACATGTGACCGTATCAGCTTCATGAGCACAATAAAAGGGACAGCTCATGCCACTCATGGCAAGAGCTATGAAAAGCTGCATGGCTTTAATTGTCTGGCATCTATTACAGGACCCAAGCTTACAATTTTAGGAAACTGAGTTCAGTGTTGCAGAATAAAGCCTAGAGACAGTTTGGCCAGTTTTGATGCAGAAATTAAAATCAGGATGGGATAATGGGTCTGGAAAGAATGCAAAACCTCATGTAAACTCAGAGCTTAACAATACCGTTTTCACAAAGCAACAGGCAGCTTTAAAGCAAAGCAGTTTTAGCTAGAGAAAATGCTGTCAGGCTTGCAAAGGAGGCAGGAGGAAAAAAAGATATCCATGTATTCCACGATAAATGGGCCATGGGAATAATGAGGCCCAGCACAGGTCCCAATTTGGCCCACTGGGCTGTCTTCCCTGAACCACACCCACCTGTCTGAGGGGCAGGTAGAGATGCAGCTGCCAATGCCCAATTTAGTTCCTTAAAAGTATGCTCCTGATTGTGCATCAACAAGAGAGGCTTACTGACACCACTGATCAGCTGACAGGCAGGCAGAGCAAGCCCACCTTGGGAGAACTCTCAGCAGCACAGCAGACTCCTACAGAAAGCACAGCTTGAAATCAGCATCTATCAGCTGCCTGGCAGTAAATTCAAGTCCTGCTTGGCTGATCTTGGATTTTCCTTCCATGTGGCTTCCTGTACTACAAAGGAAAAATGGGTCACCTGGAGTCATAATGACTTCACGTGACTGACAGGTGGGCAGGCTCCACTTACCTATCAAAACTGCCAACTGATGAATTCATTTACCCATCCCAGCATTTACCCAAACAAAAACAAAACTACCCCATACCAGAGCTAATTGTTAGGCCCTGCT